TGTAGGAGTGTCAAGTTATGAGTCCATGTTATGGTCGTGGGAGGTCGCATCTGTAGATGTCGGCAGTTGGCTACGTTTGGCGTTCATCAACTGGTGCACAACTCCCACACGTGGCTCCTCGAATCTAGCGACCACGCCGGTAGCCGGCGTGGCTTGCCATCTTCTCCGATGTCCCACATTTTTGTAGAAACGGACGTAAAAAGCTGAGGAAGCAGCTTAAAGATCCTTCCGCTAGATCACTGTCGGTCCACCTAAGAATCGCTTAAATATTTGAATTAGCGTCGAAAATGAGGCCCACGCGAGATAAGCGTGGAGAGTCGTTAGGTATCAGTGGTGCGAATTCTTTTAAATTTCTTGCCCAAGTCTTCCGTCAAAGATCATCGGCCAAGGCCTATCAAGTCATTCCGCCTTTGCTTATTTCTAACGATACCTTCATCACAGAGGAGTCAGGAAAGACAGAATCATTAAATTCGTTCTTTGCCAATAATTCACCCCTGAAACTGACCCCACCTCTTCAATTCCTCCATTGTCGGATGTTTCCCTCGCAATCATTAATTTTGTGCCTGCAAATATTCAGAAACTGATAAGCAAGCTTGCTTACTCGCACTCCGTAGTAACCGACAATACTCCGAGCTCTCCTATAAAGTAGCAAAGAAATGTCCCTCCTCCGCCTAGAAAACTATTTGCAGTCTTATTCGAGGGTGGTTTCTTTCCTGATTATGGGAAAACTCCTTTTTTATCCCAGTATTTAAATTTGGCCGTCGTTCTGAGGTTCCAAAGAAATTCTACTGCAGAGCACATCCGAATATTTCCTTTTCAGATAAATGCCAGCTGGCAAACCTAAAATTTTTATGAGTTCGAAGACTGGAAGAAGGCTTCTCTCTCCTCTTTCACATTAATAATAGTTCAAATCTTCCTCGGACTTCAGCCCTTACACCTAGTAGTCGCCCATACAATCTTCGCGATTCTTCCTTGACCTTTCTCCCCGCTTCTTCAATCTCTAAGCGCTTTTTTCGTTTTCATGAATACCTCCGTTTGGAATAGCCTTCCAGTAGCTATAAGATCACCAGACAATCTACACAATTTTAAAAGAATTCTGCAACTTTATCCGAAAAATGACTCGACTAAGCTCTCATTTTCCTCATTTCCCAACATTCCCATGATACTGAGAAATGGCGAACGGAAATTAGGACGCCGTCCACAAACTAACATATCCGATCACACTTCTTTCTCTGTGGTTGGTTTCGCTTTTTAGGATCTCTCATCAGAAATTTAGATTTTTCGGTTTTTCAGTCCTTGTACCGTGTCCTTCACAGAACGCGACGTCCTCCCTGACAAATCCTACCAAAGAAATAGCAGGGCTAGGTTTACGTGTACGCCTTTAGTCAGCTCTAAGCGGACTGTGTACGATCGCGTCTGGGTTCCTCTTGTCTTGCCACTTTGAGGTGGATAGTCTCAATTGTTTTGGGGATTTTGCCTTGACGATGGCCGTTTCGAATCCCTTACACACTATCATATGCAGGCCAGCCTTGCTGGACTAGCATATTTTCCCTTTACGAGCAATAGTTTTTTTCTTTTTGAAAGCGAATTAATTCACATTCATTTTGCCTTTTTTGAGAAAATGAGTTTTTTACTGCTCGTCCGCCGTTTTTCATATGCATGGACTTAGCACTGTACAGAGTATAGTACTTACCTTGACAGTACACTAAGAGGTACCTAAAATAAAATTTAGTTTTATCATTATAGGTGCAGGACTGCTGAGGGGCTGGCAAGGCCGAGGAGATCCAAAGATATGCCGATCGCAACTAATCGAAGAATTTCTTCGTTGATTTCAAAGGCGATCTACGCCCTTCACCGAGGCGGAACACACCTCTTCTCAGCTCCGATGAATCAACGCTTTTGACGGAGAAGTCGCAGATCCTAAAGCGCTGGGTCGAGCAATTAAGAAGCGTTCTCAACCGTCCCTTAACAATCTTCGACGCCACCATCGACCGGCTGCCCTGGATCTTGCGTCTTCCCTTCCAGAAACCAATAACGCCGTATGAAAACTGTCCTGTGGGAAAGCACCACGCTCTGCTGTGATCCCAGCTTAAGTCTACAATAACAGCGGCCACCGAATGATGGACCAGCAGACGACGCTGTTCCCGAAGTAATGGCCCTACAGAAAGTTTCCTCAGAATTTCAAGAAAATGACCATCGTAAAATTCAAAAGGCAATTTGGCGAGCATACGTTTGCTTTCGATAAATTCTCTTCAGGCCTGTACATTTATATGGCTATTGAAGTAATGAATGCAAAAGATACGGGTAGATAGGGGAGGGTAGGGGAGGGGGAGGGTGAGACACCATAATTCCAGTCGGCGCCAGGGGGAAGGTGGGTCCCGGCGAATGCAGTTACATGCGGGTGTCTGGCTTGGTGGCTTTGGCCCATGGTAACTGTGGGGCCTGCACGAAATTCTTCTGCGCGCATAGGATCGGCCGGCGTAGCCTAATTGCAGCCGCCTCTGCCGTTGCCAACAGGCGCTGCCCAAGCAGTTTTGGATAGCTTGATGGGACCTTGTAGATCATTCTGAAGGCCTCTGTGGCGTCTACACGGTGGCTTGTGTCTACCATGTGCGCGAGGATCGAGCTGTTGATGTTCTTAATTTGTCCCTTTCCTAACCTGTGGGGCAGAATATATTGGTCGCACGAGCCGGCGTTTATCCAAAAGAATGAAAGAACATCTCCCAGCATGGTTAGGAAAGGGACAAATTAAGAACATCAACAGCTCGATCCTCGCGCACATGGTAGACACAGGCCACCGTGTAGACGCCACAGAGGCCTTCAGAGTGATCTACAAGGTCCCATCAAGCTATCCAAAACTGCTTGGGCAGCGCCTGTTGGCAACGGCAGAGGCGGCTGCAATTAGGCTACGCCGGCCGATCCTATGCGCGCAGAAGAATTTCGTGCAGGCCCCACAGTTACCATGGGCCAAAGCCACCAAGCCAGACACCCGCATGTAACTGCATTCGCCGGGACCCACCTTCCCCCTGGCGCCGACTGGAATTATGGTGTCTCACCCTCCCCCTCCCCTACCCTCCCCCATCTACCCGTATCTTTTGCATTCATTACTTCAATAGCCATATAAATGTACAGGCCTGAAGAGAATTTATCGAAAGCAAACGTATGCTCGCCAAATTGCCTTTTGAAAATGACCATCGTTCAACTCCACAGGCGTAAATGGGACCGGCAAAGCTATGACAGCCACAAAGTCATTTAACTACTCAACGAAGCTGAGAAGACTATCGCTTGCCTTCCTCTCAATCGTCTTAACGGTCAACTAAAGCATGGACTTCTGCCGGGAAGCCACTGTGGCTCCCGACGACACCGCGGGACCACAGACATGGTACTAGCCGCTATAAGAAAAGTTCCAGAATATGTGGTCCCACCTTTACATCACATTCGCGTTGACCACTGCAGTGAGTCACGGCCGCGTACTCGCATCCACTCTTTTCATCCTCATGTTCATTGACATGCTGATGAAGGTCTACCATGATGAACGCCCTGGGATAAGCATCGCCTACAGAGCTGCCGGGCAACTTCTCAGTAGCAGGCACATGCAGGCCCCGGACGACTATCTACGAGCACAGCCCACAACTTGTGCTTTTCCGACGACGGGACGCTCAACACCACGACTGAGGAAGACATTCAACGGAGCATGGACCCCCTCACCGCCAAATGCGGCAACTTCGGCCTGACTAACAATGCGTACAGAATGGCGGTCTTGCACTCGCCGTCGCTCAACACGCACGACTGCATCCTACCTCGAACCACTGTCGACGCTAACCAGCTCAAAACCATGAAGGAATTCGCTTATCTAGGAAAATTACTCTCTCGCAGCACAAACATACACGAAAAGGTTGCCTATCGGCTCAACAAAGCCAGCCAAGCCTTCGGCAGACTGCAAGCCTCTTTGCGTAATCGCTAGACCCTCGGCTGTACACTAAACAGAAGATGCACGAGGCCGCCATTTTGACGACACCTCTGCGCGGAGCGAAAAACTGGACCGTCTACTCCACCCATGCGGGGATTCGCAGCCATTTCCTTCTCAGATATCTCCACAGATATCTCCTCGGTATCCATCCTAGACTGGGGCAACGGCAACTGCGGCGGAGCGGCCATCTGGTGAGAATTCACGACGCTCGCCTGCCAATGCAACTCTTCTACGGAGAATTTGCAACGACAGCTAACCTACGGGGAGGACCCAACGACGCAGCAAGAATACTTTGAAAAATTCTCCGAAGCAATTGCATGTCAATCCGGAGACCTGGGAGATTCTCGCCCAGAACATACCGACCTGTAAAAAAGAGTGAAGACTGTCGCAACCTTCTACGAAGCAAACCGGTTCGCCGCCGCGAAGCCAAAAGGGATGGTCTCAAGTCACAAGTGTCTCGGGTCCTCAATGCCAGCGGCCGGCCACCTTCAACATGTCCCCACTGTCAAAGCAAATTCCGCGCACGAATTGGTCTCGTCAAACATCTTCAGAAGCAATTTGTCAACAACCCGGCAACGTCAACTTCTCCTCCCACGAACATTCCTGCCGCAAACACCTCGACGACGAACACCCCCATAATTGGCGACCAGGTCTCTGATGCTCTGCCGATATTGATTCCCGGCACCATCTACCCCGCCTCAACCCATGTGTAAATCGCAGAGACCGGCGCCGCCAACGCCACGACCTCTCACTCTACGTTGCCGATGGGATGACATCCGAATTCCCGTCAGCTAGTACCATCGCCATCATCAGCCCAAATCCGTCAATGTAGACTCGGTCCATACTTGTTCTCATTGCGATTTCACATGCACCTCACTCACTGGCCTGGTCATTTACTTGAGAATCCTCCGCACGAAGACAGGAGAACCAGTGTCTAGGGCGCCACATACACTCGTTGCATCCGCCTCAGCAGCCTTCACTGCTACGGCACATTCCTCCACTGTATTAGTGTATACGGTCCCATGCATGGCCACGACAACGGAATTCACCGCAATGTCGTCACACCTAATACACGTCGCCCACCCATAATGTCTAGCTCGATCAACACTACATCGCTCAGTACGCCCACTACCATCACCATTAAAACCGATGCTGACGCTTTCCCTCTATCTTGCCCCCACTATCCCCGCACATTCCCCTTATGCACTGGGCTGGTCGGTTACCCGCGAACCTACCGCGCGGAGACTGGCGAACCAGTGTCTGGAGCACCAAAATACACCAGACGCGCCCCACTCAACTGTCTGCATTGTCGTCACACATTCGGCAACCGCATGGGCCTACTAGGCCACATGAGCCACACGGAAACCTGCGGTAGACCACCGCCGTCTATAGCACGCCAATACGCATTTATCCACCATCACCTACAAGTCACTTCGACATCACCCACTAACACACAATGCTCGTATCCAATTGAATCCTTTCACATGCATGGGAAGTGTACCTCTCGGCTCCTTCTCCATATAAATAAATAAATGAATTGTTTTATTAAGGATCCTTGGGGATCCTATCATAGCAAGTAAAAATAAATCTTCACATAAATTTTAGAACAGGTAGACAGAATCTGTACAGTATTCAGTTCATGTACATAGAATAAGCGGTCTGATAAGAAAACTAGTTAGCGGGCAGTGAAAAAACTCCGTTTTTCAAATAAACGTGGGAATGTGACTGGATTAACTTTTAATGAGATAAAATTGTTATTCATGGGGGGATAAGTGTGCGGGTCAGGCAGGACTGGCCGGCATGTGGTAGTCCATAAGGGATCCGAAACGAACATCGTAAAAGCAGAATTCATAAACCGGATAAGGTTTTTTGCATCAAATAGGCGAGACGAAAGGAACCCAGACGCGATCGGTCGCAGTCCGCTTCGAGTTCAGCCGAGGAAGGGGCATTAAACGCTGAGGCCGTCATCAAAGCATACGGGAAGAAACAAACATAAGATTTCTTTGCTGGCTGACCAAACTACTAGTAGGAGGCGAAAACAGAGGATTCCGCCATGAGCGTCGGCAGACCGCTGGGGTCGAAATGAGATGACATCAAGAACCGCAAAAACCATCGTTGCGGAAAAGTAATTGCAATGGGTTTCATTGCCAATTAACAGAGGGTTATTAAAATATAAGTAGGGGTTTCTCCGATACAGAGAATTCAGTTAAGGACGGTGCCGAGTTAGGATCTTCTGAACACCACTTATACTTCCGGCATAGTGCTTCAAGCAGTCAAAATATGGAGTAAAAGTTACTGTTTGGCGGATATAGTATACTCCGCAATAGGGGACAAGAAGAAAGGGGGAATTAAACGATTATGTAAAACAGGGGGGAGTGACTATGGTCACCGTAGTGCAACCAAAAGGATAGGGCTTGCGAACAGTTTACTGCTGCGACTCCGGAGGAAAAATATCCTTCAGATGAACTCGCCGTGGCGTTCTTGTCTGCAAATAAAAAGGGACACGTACATTCACGTTGCTTTTTTTCTACCTGCTGCTCTATCCTTCTTTCATCTCATCAAAACAACTGCCTGTAATCACAGAAGGAGACTACGCTAGTTACTGACCCGTTCAAACAAGAGAACCCACATATTCAAACAGAGTCGCGACGGGACAACTTGCAATTTTTCCAGAATGGGAGGTTTTTTGAGACTATGATGTTCGCCTAGTGCAGTGCCAACTATTAGCAGACTTGATAAGCTTGAATAGACTTTAAAAATACCGAAACTGCCTGCATCTGTCATTTTCCCTCTCCGTAATCTCTTTCGAAATCCTCCGGTAAGCTGTACAGGATAACATTCTGGGGTTCGCTTAGTTTTAACTGTTCCGGCACGTTTTCATAGTAGGGTACTATTGGTTCTCAGATGGTAGACCTCTGATCCAAAGTTTCTTCAAATGCTTAAGCCTCTTCAATTGTAAACACCACCGACAGGCTATCCCGTGCGCATGAATTTAACCTACGGAGGCCGATGTCGCGCAGAAATTTAATGAGTGTTGCATATCCTACTACAAAAATGGCCTCTTCAATCGGCTGAATTTTAGGTTAGCTGACACTCAGATAAACCCTTCCGCCTATCTAGGTTTCTCCGATAACTGGGATTGGGGTGAAAGATTGTCGGCAGATGTTTATGAAGGCCAGCCGCCTTTCAATCTTGATGATTATCACCGAATCCCCGTATCATTTATTCATGGATGTTGATGCTTGCGTAAACTACTCACGAAGAAAATCTGTCTTACGTGTGAAACGCCTTCATGCGCAACGCGTATGGCCGAAATATGAAGTTTTGCATGTTGTGGCAACCTTAGAAGAGACTAGCTTCTCTTTTATGTTGTGAATTCTAGCTATTCATTTGGTCGAGATCTGCGGTTGCGTTTTTCCTTCTCTTATAAGACACTTAGCAACTCCACTAAGCACAGTTTATTTGTAGATTGTTAATGTTGCACAAAAAGGAACACAAACGACATAGAGCAACCGAAACATTCAACTTACTTTGTCATCCAGTTGTTTGAACAGTATTACACTTTAAATGACGTTTTAATTGCAGTTCCTAACAAATCTGCCAGTCTAGTACATGCCTTTTGCCCATGTTTGTGTTCTTACATTCAGTAGATCTTGCTCGCTTTAATCCCAGGTGATACGCATGAACTATGGATGGGCAATCACTGACAGAGTCAATGATCCTTATGAGGGCCCAAAATCAAACTCTGGAATCTGTAAAAAGAGTTAACTTGTGGTAACTTAGTTTAGTTCGACGTATTTTAGGGGTCTTAATATCAAAAATGTGTCTCTACTTCGCTCAATGCCTATGCTGGAGGTGATTTCACTAAGGTGACTAATTCTTTAACGTCCTTCTAACCCATGTATTAAAGTTCGAATAAGATTGAAAGCCTTGAAGCGTTTGCCCACTGCCGTACCCTCAGGGAGCTATATCTACGGAACAACAACATATCAAACCTGGATGAAATTCAACATTTACGTGCCCTTCCTCATCTGCACACGCTTTTTCTGTTAGGAAATCCGTGTTGCTATGCTCCAGGTAAACTGGATTAATGCTTTTTATTCCGCAGATGTTGACCATGTAGACAACTCGACGGAACCCGCAAATTACTACCGACCCACCGTTATCAGCCA